TCTCCATAATACAGTCTGGTTTTACAGGACTCATGGATTTCTACTGTAAGTGCTCCATCCAAAAGCTAAAATTTGGCAAGCTCTTTCATGATAGCAATACTCTACCCTGCACATAAATGTTGCTTTTCTCTGAAAACTGGCAGTAATGCTGGTCAAGCTTTTCTTTTATGGCTCCTATAGATTTTTGTTTACAGATAGGTAAATTCAGCCTAAGTGCTTGGACTGTCACCTTTTTATTGCATATTTAACAAATGATTCAGACTTTATGGGGGAAACTTGCAGCTAAACTGCATTTGCATTTTTCTTTTCTACTCTTTTCCCTTTCCATACCTTTTTTCATTATGGGATTGGTGTGCAGTTCCTAACTGCAAGTTCAGCTTTGTTGCTGCTCAAAGCCAAGTTTCTAATGCTGTCTTGTTAATCCATTTTTCTGGATTTTCACATAATTATTATGTAAGTATTGATTGGGAAGGGCTATAGTTTAGCTTTACATGACTTATTTAAAGTAACTTTTCACACTTAATTATCATTTGTTTTTATTGCATCCTGCCTTTTACTCTTCCACATCCTGCATTTCCTCATCTGCTTGCATTTTCRGGATGACATTGAACATTAGGAGACCTTTGAGTTATGCTGTGAAACCTCTCCCAAAGAATATTTAAACCAAATAAATCTACTTGGTGGCTTGTGGGAGGGTTCTTCCTTCTCAGACACAAACTCCAAGACTGGCACATATCAAGACTTACAATGAATTCAAGCAGCAATGCTCTCATTTATAATATTTTTTTACCTGGATGCTAACCACCTAATAAAACTGATGCATATATATAAATATAYATATARTGAAGTGGTTATTTGGAGGCCTAACTGATCACTGAAGAGTTTTAAAAACTATCACTGGTATGATTTATGTGGAAAAGTTCTGTCATTGCAGGTCCTTGYGAAGGGAGGTGTATCCACATCACAAACAAGAGCCATCATAAATAAATCCCAGAAACTGAAGGGGAAATGTTCTCACGCCTCCGAACAATCCCGTGGAGCCACAGGCAAGGCATCACTCGGGAGCATTGTTCTGCCTCCTCCCTGAATAAATGGGGGATTGTCCAGCCACCTTTCTTTATGAGTAGTGAACCTGCCATTAATTCTTTTTGTTTGTTTTTTAAAGAAAATACTTTAAATCTCTAAGATTAGAAGTTTCATGTCATTCAATTAATTAAATGACGCCACTCAAGAGCCATAAACATTAAAAAGCTCCTTGGAAGAAGTCTGTGGCCCAATCCATTGGATAAATTGATTGATTACTTCTGTGGCCATTCCTAATAATCTGTAGCATTTTTTCATTAGGCAGAAAGTTGTTTTCCTATTTAGTATGCAAACGTGGGATCCGGAGCATTCTGCCCATGTGTTATGATTTCTTTTTTCCATTATGCAATCACAGAATGTGTCACCTCCCTGTTTACAAAAGAAAAATGTAAGAGATAAAATTTGTGTTTAGTAAGGATTTTGATCTCCAATATATTAAAGAAATTAAAGCCCAGGGCTGGCAGAAAATCATAAATCATAGTTATGTGTTTCTGTAGAAGGATTTTATGGATGCTAGGGCAAAGATATTACCACGTGCACTCTGGTTGTGTAGAAATGCCACTAGAGGCTATTTTCTTCCTTCAAAGGTGCCCTTTAAGCTCACAGAAAATTACCCTTAATAGAGTAAACATGCAATTTGCACAAAACTAACACAATGTGTGTCACAGAGAAAAAAGCCTAGTGAGAAATTTGTAACTAATTTAATCTTTCTTTCCTGCTGAGAATTTTCCYAGGTCCGGGTTTCTTTTTTTACACCTGAAGTTTTTTATTTCAAATTTTTCCAAATATTTCTGCTATTCATTTTTTAGCTTGAGAGGTTTTCTTTCTTAAAAGTTTCATACTAAAAATCTGCATTATATGGATTGTGCTGTTTAATACCCTTTTCTTCCTCTGAAATGAGTTCACTGGTGCTGATACATTTCCAAATTCAGAATGTGATTGCTACGAGTAACCTCAAAAACTTCTTCCTTTGGAAGTATTTTTTTCCATTAACTGAAAACAGAAGTTTGTTGGCTTTTGGGTTGATTGTTGTCTTCATTCTCCCCCACTCCCATCCCCAAGATTTGTTATCTTTCTTTATCCTTTTTCTTCCACCTTTTTCTCACACTTTTAATAAAAAATAAAATTACCTTAAATCAYGAAAGAAAGGTGTTACTTCAGAGAGACCAGAACTAGTGGTCCTGAGACTTTAGTAGAGTTTTAAAGTTATACGTAATAAGCTGTACAAAACTCAATGGAAACAGCTGTATATTCTAGAAAGGCTGACGAAAATATTAGCCAAAAAAAAAAAAAAAAAAAAAAAAAAAAACCAAAAACAAAACCCCTAAAAATAAAGTAAAATACTTCTCATTACTAGAAAAAGTTACATTTTGAAGAAATCACTGTGTATTTCTGGACTTTTTGCTGTTGAAAAGCATCTTTGTCAAATGAATGAAAAGGTGTGGTGAAACYAGCTTTGAGAAGGACAAAGGAGGGCGGGAGATGCAATTCTCTGGGCCATACCTGGTCAAGCAGCTGCACAACCTGCTCCTCCCTCTGCCCCTGGAGGTTTCCTGCTCAAGAGCTCTGAGCATCTTTTTCTTCTTTTGGAAGTTTTACTGCAGAGGAAATAGGTAGGGTAGATGGTAAATGTAAGTAAAAGGAAGGATTGGAGACAAGACACAAATGGTATTAAATCTGATGATTCTTTAATTTGGTTGGTTGAATAATCAAGAYTGGAAACAAGAAAGGAGATTGATGTTTTCATATTAATTTTGAGTGCTTATGTCTTCCATTGCGCTCCCCTGAAACAGGAAGAGACTGTCTGAGACTGACCTCTCACGGCCTTCTCTCTCCTTTGCTTTGGCTTCCATACATTTCCAACCCCATTCCATACATYGTACACCTGGCAGAGTTAAAACAGATGTTTGGGGTGTGTGGGAGAGTCCTTGGCACAGCTCCTGGCTTGCAACCCGTCCAGCACCTCCTCTTCTGCTGCAGGGCGGCAGAAAAGCTGCTTTGCTTCTGAAAGGAGCCACCAGTGCTGTGTTGYTTGATAAACCTGGGCTCAGGCGCTGCAGGCAGCACTTCTTGGCKGTCCTGCTGGCACTGGTGACCCCGAGGGCACAAGGACACACGGGACAATGAAGAAGAAGGTTCTTTAGATGTTTATTGGGGGTCTGTTTCTCAGCTTTTAAAGATTTTTGGTGTTAACTCTGCCACGTAGTCCCACATCTGTTGCAAAAGGCKTCTCTCCTCCCATCCTGTTGCTCACTGCTTGTGCAGACAGCACATGCATTCAGAGCGAAACTCTGCTCTGCAAGGACGCATAACTTTGGCTAGCAGTGAAATATTTATTTGACCTCAGTATTATTCAAATATTTTCCCATTTCCACAGAACCAYGCTGGGTGGCTCTGGAGACCTGAGACGAGTCACTTGGGAAGGGAGATGTCCATATTGCAAAAAATGATCTACAGAAGGGGAAGCTTGGGAAGCGCTGCTCWGCAGTGATTCCCCCTGAGAGCAGTGGAATAGCAGCATTGCACGCCTGTTTCTCTGCTCTGTGTTCTGACAGGTACTCTGGGGCCTCTGATGGGCTGAAAGGACTGAAGGAAAGGTGCAGGCATGAAGAGAACACTTCTAAAAAATACTCATTTTACATGGCAACTTGTAGAGCTACACACTCGTACAGGGAGCAGCTCTCGGGTGGAGACCCCAGCTCCCGTTTGCTCTAGTGATGGCAAAGCCCATCCGTTCCTTGGGGCCGTAGCAGTGGCCCCGCGTGGTGCAGGCTGCGCCAGGGTCACCCAAGGCAGGAACGATGTAATTGGCGTTTCCCTGGCAAGCCGGCTGCGGCCGCGGGCTGGAACTCCCGAGGTTTTACTGCTACTTTGCCGTCGCGTTCAGCCCGGGAGAGCCCGGTAATTGGACACGGCCGGATCGCGGCGGGCTGGAACTCCCGGCCGAGGCTCCCGGGTTACGTGACTCGTGTCAGCCCCTAGCGCAGAGCCCCCGCGCCGTGCGGCGGAGCATCACCTCCGCGGGCCGGGGACAGGATCGGAGACATCCCCAGGGCTGGGGACGGGCTCGGGGCATCACCTCCGCGGGCCGGGGATGAGCTCGGGGACATCCCCAGGGCTGGGGACGGGCTCGG